TGTGACCTTAGCAGAAGTCATATCTCTGCGGAACCATGCCTGTGATAAAACAGGGGAGGAGATTTGCCCAAAGCCATTAGTTTGATGAGCCATTCTCTTTTAGATTACCATTTCTCTTTTATTTTGGCCTTTTGCACTTTGTGTGCTTTAGAATCCTTCAGTTTCTGATGAGAATGCTGGTGAGCAGGCAACTGTAGCTCCCTTCTTTCTCCAATCATAGAGCTTTATTCACTCCTGACAAATTCTGCCAATTATGAACAAATCAGAAGCGAATCTAACAGCTGTGTAGCAATGGAGAGAACACATGGAAGCTTTGTGGGGAGAACTATCAAAGAACAGGTGGTAATCTTATCACCTGTCATAGCTAAGAAGAGTGTTTGCCTGATGGAATACCATCCAATGCAGTTGCTTCTGCTCAATAAGTGTGGCCTATGAAATATTTTTGCACCTGATCTGTTAATGTCTAACTCTCAGTATATTTAACTGTTGCCTTGCTTGTCACGAGCTCATCTCTTCCAATTGTCCAAGGGCAGGTGCCCTTCTTGTACACACCTGTGATGTTTACAGCTGTAAGGCTTTCGTAGGCATATGTGTGCTCCCCCAGGCACACTTGTCTTTAGCATAATAATGCAAAACCATCTCTTATAATGCAGTCCTCAAAGTGCAGAAGGGACACCCAGCCCAGCCAAGGTTTGCCTGAGCAGAGCAGAGGCCAGTGGGAGAAGATGTGCAGGATGTCTCACACACACTCCCCCCCTAAAATGGTGGCTGCTGAATTGAAGAGATAAGGTTTGACTGTAAGATGGGTGAGGAACTGGGTGTATGGTCACCTCCAAAGAGTTACAGTCATACAGGCTCAATGTCATATAGGCCCAGTGTCTAAGTGGAAACCAGCAACGTGTGGTGTCTCTCAGTGCTCCATATTGTGACCAGTAGTATTTCTGATTTGAAACAACAGATCTTCGTCAATGACATAGACACTGTGGATTTGTGAATCAGAGGCGGAATAGTAAATGTTGGGGGTTTGTCCAGTCAAAATATCAAAGGCTTTAATCATAGCACACACCTATACATATTGCCTCTGGGGTCATTTGTCCCTAAAAGAGAGGGTAAATGTCAGAAACTTGGATGAGCAAGAACTGTCCTTTCTCTGGCTGTATGTCCTCATAAGGCTGTGATGTAGAGTCTCATCTTAGTTGTACTAAGCTTTCCCCAGCCTCAATGAACCTTCAGATGTTATCAAGGGATCTTGCTCATATGAAGTAACAGCTGATGTTTTGTTGGTGTTGAAATTGGTGGGAACGCAGGGGATGAGATGGTAGCTTTGTTAGGAAATTCTGGTTTGGGGGCTTGTTATTTGAAGTATGTGCAAGGAAATCATTCATGTTATCCACTGTCTGGTCTGATACAACTCCTCCTGTGAATGGTAGTTCTTGGACACAGATGTAAATCTGGCTCTGACAGTTGCAGTCACATATCTTCCAAACTGACTGAGTGCTGAGGAAGAATTATTGTATCTTTAAGCTGTCTTTAAGTGCACTGCATGTCACTTATGCCCTTGAGAGCATTTTACAACTCTCAAAATGAGTGTGACGAGCAAAGGAGGTCCTGTGCATGGAGCTGTGTTGGGATTCTTGTTCTCCATAAGGAGAAGTTGTGTGGGGAACACATCTTTCAGTGGTGTCTGTCTGCAAAGGGAGCTTTCTTGTTGCATGATGTTTGAGCCCACTGAAGCATTCTGTCTGCACAGAGACAGGGCAGGGGGAACAGTTGGCTGTGGTGTATTTGGAACTGCCTAAAAGGTAGATATAAACGCTAGTTTTTATAGGGCCTCATAATTATGGTCCTGTGCACTTTTCCTTCCTTGATTTCCAAGGATATTGTTTAGAGAACCACACATTTGGCATAAAGTCCTGTGTGATCCTCCTGTGTGCTTTTTGAAAGTTAGATAATGCTTCTTGTGTACCTACTACAGTTGACATAGCCTGAAATATTATTTCTTCACTTCTGTGGCTTTCCCATTCCTTCCTTGATTATTCTCATGTGCTAAAACTGGGCCTCAGTTTGGATGATAGTCCTTGAAAGAAGAGATCTGTTTGAATTAGCAGGTTGTGGGAGGTGTTCTCATCCATGCCTTGAAGTTTAGCTGCCAGCAGAAAGACCTGGGTATACTTTTGTTTCCCTAGAATGTCACATGGTCTTTTGCTTGTGGCTGACATACGGCCAAACGTCGGGTATTGCCCATAGTGCAACTGAAGGCTGTCAATGCAGAGCAAGGAATGTGTGGGAATAGCTTTGAAACAGGAAAACAGGTAGGTCAGTGTGGTTTTGTATGAGAAATGGTTTGATTTCATGCCTGCTGCCAAAGCCTGTGCCATTTATATTGTAATCCTGGTTTTGCTGTTTTGAAAAGCATTGTGAAATGACAATAAAATAGTGGAGCTTGGGGTAGAATGGCTTGGAATTCTTGTGGGAAACATCTTGTATCCATCTCTATCACCCTGGGGCATTATGATGCACAGTTTCCTCACAGTTGTAATTACACTTCCTTTCAAACCTTTATTCCCTGGAAGGTCATGATTCATTTTCCCCATTTCTTGCAGAAAACACTTTAATGCTTTTGCATTAGAAGCTGTGAGTGTTGTTTTTCAGCAAATACTCGGTTACCAGTGCATGATGTCACCACATGGTCCCCCAAACCATGTTGGCTGCTCAGTTGGGTTTGACAGGTGGACTGCTAGATGGATGAGGAACTGGATGGATGGCTCTGCTCAAAGAATCTTATTCAATGGCTCATTGCCTATCTGGAAAATACTAATGTGACATTCTTTGGGGGCCTTACTTGGACTAATACATTGACTATCTTCATCAGTGATGCAGCTAATTGGATTGAGTGCACCCACTACAAGTTTGCAGAAGACACCAAGCTAAGTGGTGCCATTGATTCACTAAAGGGATGGGATGGGATGTGATCCAGAGGGACCTGGACAGGTAGCAGGAGTGGACCCATGTCAAGCTCATTAAGCTAAACAAGGTCAAGTGCAACATCATGCACCTGGGTCAGAGCAATCCCGTTCACAAACAGGCTTGGGGGATTGAGAGCTGCCTTGTGGAGAAGGACTTGGGAACTGGTGGGTAACAAATGGGACATGAGCTGGCAATGTGCTCTTGCTGTCTAGAAAGCCAATCATATTCTGGGCTGCAAAACAAGGACTGTGGCCAGCAGGAAAGGTGGTTTTGTGTCTCACCATGCTTCTGTGAGACCTGTTAGAGTAATCCAGAGAAGGACCATGAAAATGTTCAAAGGGATGCAACATCTGGCTGTGCAGACTGTCTGAGAGAGGCCCTTCGACCTGGTATAGAAAAGGTGCTGAGAAGTCACTGTATATTTTAATATATAAAATAGAGTAAAACTAATGTGGAGAGAGAGTTTTAATAGGGCCTATCTTGATAGGACAACTGAATGGTTGGAAACTGAAAGAAGGTAGGTTTAAATTGGTCATAAAGATGAAAAGTTTTTCAATGAGAGTGTTGAGACGTGGGAACAGGTTGTCCAGAGAAGC